ACTTAATTGCGATAGCTTCTCACCGAATTACTAATTACTTTACAGAGAATATGGTTGAGCTCTTATTTTTTAAAATATTTTTCGTTTTCCGTATTTATCTTTATAGAAGTCTTAACTAATTGTAAATAATCTAGTCTATTCAACATCTTCTATCCTTGATATGCTTAAAGTAATTAAAACTTAATTCGAATGATCTTATCTTAATTGGAGAGCGATTAAGCTTTAGGATTATGAGACATTAAATATAGTTCAATAAACAAATTAGTTTGTTTCGTCCAAATAGGTTGAGGGAAACTACGTATAATTGGAATATCAGTGCCTTACCAGACTGAAATTCAGTTATAAATATACTACGAGGAACAAGAAAAGAAATATTGAAGCCTTTCCGGTTTAATACAGCGTCAATAATGTAAATACAATCCCTTAATTGGTATAACTTATACATCCTCCCTTGGCGATTGCATTACTCATTTTATATCTCAATGCAATTTCTCGAGCCATAGTCTAACTTATCTGAAAGAAGAACAAAATATTGAACATTTTAACACAAAACTTATGATATGGAAACAAGTTCATTACTAAGATTTTAAATAATTTATTGTTTTAAGGAGGGTAGTACCGAAAATAAAACTTATTTGGAGTTTAAACAATGTATAATAACTATATTATTTCATATAATATAATATAAGTGTGTATTTTGCCTTGATAGAAAATTAGTCCTAACTTCAACATTTATTATTCAAATTATTAACAGATTAGAGGCTCAGATTCTGGCTGACATTCAGCCGATCCAGGTCATGTGGAAGATGGACGACCGGGAACTGATACAATCGGAGAGAATTGAAATGTCCTTTATGCAGGACACCGGAGTGGCGCGTCTCGTGATCCGGAAACCCAGTCAGCCGGACTATGGTGAATACACCTGCGTGGCAATCGGCGAGATGTTTGAGACACAGACAGGAAGGCGGGTCTCCAAGACGATCATGTCTAGCTCTACTGTCCTCGTCGAAGGTAAGTTAACTTTTACTTGCATAACTTGTAATAGCAAGCTCAAATTAACATTATACATCAATTTAGTTTATTAACTTTTCTATAATCTACACATTTTAAGTCATACTACTACCGCAGTTCGTTTTACTCATTCAATTCTGAATTATTCAAAAGTATGGCGACTTCAGGAAATCTGAGATGGGTCATTATTACTGGCCGCCATAATCGTATTGTCCATTCTTTGCTTTTCGGAGAATCCTTTATTGACAATAATCTTTCAGAGCCTTATTACCCGTAGTTGTTTATTGTGACGATTTTATATTTGGATTCCACATATTGAAAATTATAAGCTTCACTGTGTTATTTAATTATAGTTAATTTTGCCTCTCCTCTAGGATG